TAGAGTACCTATAATGAGAGTATGGCCATAAGAGCGGAAGTCGCCATTACTGGGACTACGCCGGAAAGAACGGAAAATCGCGCGCAGCGTTTGAACACAGCGAAGTGCACATCTTCACTCCATTTGACGGTCTTGCACCACAAGAAATGCATCGCCCCATGGTTGTTGTCTGAAACTCGAGTTATGATAAAACGTACACCACGCTAATCCATAAATATCAAAAAAATACAATATATTTTTACAATGTAAAGTGAAAGGTAAAAAGTAAAACGTCTACATTTTAATAACAAAATAATTTATAAACAAAATTGTACAATTTAACCCTCAGTTGTCATATTGGGTATGGCATATTCGAGTGATTTTTTCATCGGACTGTACTGTGCAAAAGTATTGCAAAAGTGTTTTTATCATATTTAAAGTAAAAATACAGCAATTCAAAAATCTTACGGATGCAATTCACACAATGCATTCTTGATGACAGCTCAAACGGGACTAACCTTTTGGCTACGTATACTAGTAAGCAGCCTGATACACCGATTCACAGACTCACTAATGGCGAATTCGACAGACTGCACTAGTGCGCACTGAGTGCGAACTTTTTTGGTGCCACGCATTCGGAATGTGCGCACCGTATTAGTGCGCTTAGATTATTGTATTCGGCAAATGAAAACTGACCTAGTGTAGTGCTGAATTTGTATTCGGACGAACCGAATGAATCGAACGAATGCAAGAAATATTGCACTGACATTTTTGTCAGTGCAGTTTGGTGTACGGACGAATAAAACTAGTTAGGCAGCAAAAAATTACAAAATTGATAAAGAAAGACTATTATTTATTATAGATAAATTATTAGAAACAAGTAGTAGTAGTGATGATGAAGATATGTTATGTTTAATAAAAGAAGAAAGGCCGGAAGTTAATTAAAAACAAAAAAATTAAATTATTATTATTATTATTAATTAAAAATTAAATTATTAATTGAATTATTAATTAGTGTAGTTTTGCATTCGCTCCGTGTCAGGGCAGCACCCTATCAGAGCAACACCGTGTCAGGGCA